CACACACACACACACACACACACACACACACACACACACACACTGAAAGTATTCCCATGAACCCAGTGCTCTGTCTCCTGCTGTCTGGTAACACAAAAAATCCTACACAAACAAACAGTCTCCTGCTGGCAGCTTGTTTAGTTTGGATGATCATGACAAGGAGATGGAAAGAAGAAGGAGAAAGACAAGCATTTACCACTAGGAATGTCTTCATATTTCATTTAACAAAGCGAGTTGGTACAGTTAAGAACAAGACAGATTGCCACGTTGTGAAGTGAATGTGTGAGACAGAGGGAAAAAACAATGTGAGACTCCAACACGTGATCCAGTGACGCAGCACATCTACGTCACCTGGACAAGGTCAGAAGACAGAAAATACAAGCTGACTTGCTCTGGCGTCTCGAGTAGAGACACTCACAGAGAAAAAATAGGAAAAGGTCTCCGGATATTTATAATGGTCATTAACTGAGACCTCCAGTTCATTATTCACTGCTCATACAAACTTGTTGGAATGAGAAACACTGACCAGAAAAAGAAAACGCTGAGTGTGGTAAGATGCAAACCTAACGTCTATTTAATATGTATTTCATTTTTCATTTTAACTCAAAAGGTTTTGAAGTTTATTGTTGAGGTGCACTAACCTCAACAAATAACACAATCAGAACCAAACACTTACATAAATGTTGATTTTCAGTTACTTATCAGTGATTTTCACCAAGTATCTCCCTGGAATTTAGGTGTAAATGTGTAAAATTACCAATGGTAGCAACTGGGGAAGGAAAAGAACCAAGGTTTTAATTCACAATTAGAGACAGCAAACATGGACAAAAAAAACATAATTTGTTTGGAACCCATCCTACACTATTCTCAGTTTAGTTTCAGTGAGTCTGAAAGTGTGAAAACTGTGAGACATCTTCAAGTATTGGTGACCTACAAAATCAATTTGAGACTGGCGACAAAAAACAAAACAAAAAAAAAAAGAATCTGGCATTTCAGGCACACTGAGAATGTGATAATTAAGACATATAAGGCAATCTCACAGGATGAGGCTGAAAGGACAGAGGCAGTTGACATTAGAGGTATAAATCAGCAGCTTTATCACAATACAATATTATACCAAATTTGTCTGGACGTTGATGTTTCTCAATATCACAAAGTCTGTCATGATATGATTTTGATTTAATTCACAAGCCTGCCATTGCTAAGATGCAATATTATAAACCCATCTAACACTATTATTTAACGATTGTTTTAGACGGGAATATGATATCGATCCACATCAGGCATATGATGACGATATGGATGGGTATTTGTTAAGCCTTGATGTTACTGAATCRATCATTTAATCAATATATTGATGTGGATCAATGTATTGTTTCATCTCAAAATGATACGAAAAGATAAGACAGCTTTACAGCTGAAGGCTGTGATGTAGAGATGGTGGTCAACGGGATTTTAAAGCCTAAGTTGAAGAACTTTGTTAACCAACAAGAGACTTTGCTATACTGAGTTAATCTGTCATGTTTTGGAAACGATGCGAGAAAGACATCTGTCACATATTTAATGTGTAGCGTTCCACCTAAGCACAGCTGAGTTCTGCTCCACACCTCTTTTGGTTCCGTGAAGCTCCCTTGATTTCTGAAAGCTCACATCTTTGTACGATGTGGCCAGCTTGATTAGTGATT